GGGGGCTACAGCAAGTGGGGAGGGATGGGGCCAGGAGGCAGAAGTTGAGGGGGGGGTGTGGGCCTTGCAGGAGGGGTGGTATCCCTTGCAGGGGCTATTTGGCCCCCATTGGGGGCATACCCTTTGTGTGGGTACTGAACCCCCTGTTGGAGGGACAAACCGCTTGTTTGGGGGCTGTACCCCTTGTTGGGGGGTTGAACTCCCTGTTGGGGGGGCTGGACCCCCTGTTGGGGAGCCAAACCCCTTGTTTGGAAGCTGAATCCCCTGTTGGAGGTCCAAACCCCTTGTTTGGGGGTTGAACCCCATGTTGGGGAGCTGGACCCCCTGTTGGGGAGAAACCCTTTGTGTGGGGGCTGTACCCCTTGTTTGGGGGCTAGACCCCCTGTTGGGGGGCAAACCACTTGTGTGGGGGCCATCTCCTTGTGGGAGTGCAGCAAAACGTGTATTCATGAATTTGTGAAACGTATTTAGAGTTCAGTGTATTATTATGGTAAAAGACTTGCTTTACCACTGTAGATATAGCAATAAACCATTGTTCAAGTAATTGCTGTCTCTGTCTTGCTCGCCCTCGCTCGTTATAGTAGTCTTTTGTTTTACTTGTGGAGGAACATGGATTTGGGGGAATTTTACAGAGTGACTTTGGGATTCTTTTATCATGGATTTTTCAGTTTTCCAATAGGGAACACCAGAATTCCTGCTGGGGAGGCCAGTGGCAGTACCCTGCCTGCTCAGAGCTGGCACCTTGGACCCAGCTGGCTGTGGCTGACTCCTGGCCAAATGGGGCCAGGAGGACATGCTTTGACAGTTCAAAGCAGGCCACCACACCTGGAACATCTTCCGGGTGATAGCTGCCCAGATGGATGGGAAGGGGGCACACATGGCAGTAGTGCCATACAGAGGCCAAACCTGCAACCACAGTTCACTGTCAGCTGGCCCAGAGGGGCAGATGCCTCTATTGGCTGTGCAATCGCCATCCAGGTCTGGCAGGTGCGCAGCAGGTCACAGCCAGGAAGCAATCCCCACTGCCAGACCCCTGGAGTGGGTAGAGGGTGCAGGGAAGTCTCAGGGCTGCTTCAGCAGTCCAGCTGGCACAAGGGGTAGTGTCCCCAGGTACCAATTGGCTGGGCCCCAGAAGCTCCTGAGAGCGAGTAGCCCTGAGCTACTTGCCAGGGCAGCTTTTTATACTGCTGGGGCCAGGACAGGAAAGTTTTTTATACTGCTGGGGACAGCACAGGTGCTGGCCGTGGGTTCTATCTCCCCCTGACTGAAGATCCAGGAGGAGCCAGGCAGGGTTATTTTGCCCCAAGTGGCATAATTTGCTCTACACTAAAGTGCATGTCCGAGCACCTTCACTGAAGCAAAAAGCCCCAGCTCAAATTTGCACCACTTCTATTTGAGCTGCTGCATATGTGGACGTGCCCTCAGAGTGTAGGGCAGTGGTATACCAATGGTAGTGGCTGGTGTGGCTGCCCCAGTACGGACACAAAGTGAGTGCCATTGGTAGGTACGAAGGGAGCATCACCTCTCTATGCTGGTTGCTCCCCTACCCCACACCATCAAAACCACCACAGAAGGTGGCTTGTTTGGGGCGCACATGGGAGCAAGGGCAGTGGCATCCCTGATTTGTTCCCTGGGCCCTGGAGACCCACAATATGCCACTGGTGCAGGGCCTTGGGCAAAGTAGCACCCCCCCATGAAAAACCTATCCCGTGTGCCACAGCAGAGGGGAATTGACGGGTGTCCGGATGGCTTCATCCCACCGTGACCCTGAACTGCCCCTGTCTTCCTGAAATGCAGTGGCACCCTCTTGACCCTGCTGGCAGTCATACAGCCCTCTTGTCACCCCACTGAGTTAGGGTGAACAGGCTAGGCTGAAATTCTCTGCTCCTCTTGCACAGAGGCAAGATGAGTGTACCAACTTTTCCCTTTCGGGCATCGTACCATTTATTTAGGTATTTCTGCACACTCTGAAAGGCATCATTGAAAGTGTCCTGTGACCTCTGTAATTCAACATGGGACTCACCAACCACATCTTTCAAATTCCACATGGTGTCTCACACTTCCTTGAGGATGGCATCATCCTTATGCAGCGACTCATGGAGTTTGTCCCACCAGGCATCTGTGCATTCTGCTCTAGCTGTTGAGGAGTCTGCCAAAACCTCAAGTGAGGTTTTGTGGGACTATCTGCTTGCTGCAAAAATCTCTGCAGTGCTTTGCTGTAGTGCAAGTGGGGCACCATTCTGGGCAGCCATGAGTTGCGGCTAATAAACAAAGAAAAAAGCAACAGTTGCCTCCCACCCAAGAGGAGGAAAGTACACCCCCCACCCTCACCATGCAGTGCACAATATGCCAAGAGGCACAGAAACAGACACCGCAACAGTGGGGCACCACTGGTACTGCCCAAAATTTACAAGTACTCGCTTCAGAAACAGGTCCACATCTGCCACTGCCCATTCTAGCTGCAAAAAAATTAATTAAAGCAAATCATTAGTTTGGTGTCTATTACATTATGAGCTATTGAACCCATCATGCACCACTACCAAAAGAACATGGCAACCCACCTACAGCAATGCCTAAATTTCTCCCCCTCCCCCCGGCACCCCAAATCCAACCAGCACAAAACCGGCCATTGCCTGCCTGTGGCAAGAGGCACATTACAAGAGAGTTACCAGGTCTGGCATGTTCTTGGGTCTTGTTAACAGTACATGATGTAATGGCCACATGGGTTTCTTTCTGACCCTCCACCTCTTCTGCTTCATTATCTGTGCTAGTCTGTGGAATGGAGGGGCTCAGTGGCACTAAGTGTATGGCAATGGATGGTTCTTCCTGTCACTCACAGTCATCAGGGAGTAGGGAGTGGTCTCCATACAGCACCTTCAGGAGGGGCTGCTGCCACCTCCTCCTCCTCCTGCCCAACCCAGGTGCTTAAAGTCTCCATACCCAGGTTGTCGCCCACATCCTTAGAGAGAATGATGGACAACTAATCATAGAAGGGGGCAATTGTGTGACCTGCCCCAGAATGAGAGTTTGCATCTTTGGCTCCGTAAAACACTGATTTCAGGGACTTGATCTTGCACTGACCTGGGTCCAGTCACGATGGTGCCCTCGTGCCTGCATGCCTTTTGTTATCTCAGCATAAACAGGCTTATTTCTCCTACTTTCCAGCCTATGATCCTTTGCTCCAACCAAATGTCTATTCAGTCCTTCAGTTCTTCCCGGGTCCACGGGCATTAGAGGTATCAGCCACATTGTACATAATAACTAAGTCAGGGTGGGAAAGAGAGGGGACAGAAGTGATCCATGTTTATTGGCCTGGAGCAGACTGTAGTTGATGAACAGTCCTACTACCTTCCAAGGGTTTTTGGAAAAGGACCTACATGTGAGATATCTTCCATTTCCTGGACGTAATCAGTGCAGTTGGTTGAGGACTTACTTATTTAGTCTTTCAGGCAAAATACCTCATTTAGCTGTTTTGTCTTAGTAGCAGTCAATTTAGCCTGTTTTGGAAGGGCTTAAACAAATACTAAAGTTCATCCATATGTAGGATGGTGCCTAAGTACATACTTAAGTAGAGCACAAGTGGAAGTCCTATTGACTAAATAAGGATGCTTTCCTAAGTCAAAGTCCTCATTATAAAATCTTTTGGGCAGGGGATATTGGATTTGCCCATCATCCAGCAGAAGAGAACCTGTGGGTTCCATCACAATAAAATACTGTCCAATAATAAAAATAGTCCATTCAAAGTTTCAAGTAGTACCATTTTATACCAAGTTTATCAAATTTTTAAATAAACATTGTAACATGATGCCTTTTCAACTGTCTCTACTCTCTTTATGGGCTATCTACCAAAAGACTTCTTAACGGAGCAGTGGCTTTTACACTGGGGAATGGGAAGTTTAATGAATCATACATACTTTATTTGACAAATATCAATAACCATTCACAAGTCTCCTCTTGCATAAACTATGTGAAGATTCCCATGTAAATTGTGCATAGCTTCTTTATGATTCATGTTCTCCTTTTTAGTACAATGCTAAATCATTTTAAAAAGTGTGGCTTTACCTGCCAAGCTTAAGGTAAATTTCCATCAGTGATTAAATATATGTTTCATTCCCTATAATCCTTGTCAGCCATATGAATAGGATGTAATGAAACTCTTTATTTTATCTTATTATTAAAAACTCAAAATAGTCATACAAATGTGCTGAACAATATCTTTTTGGTAGATTGGCAGGCTAATTTATATATCCAAATTCATAAGCCAGAAACAGAGTTATACTACGAAAGCTTTAAAATGCTGCAAAATGATTGTTATGATACCTAGCACAAACACATGCTTAGAATAACAATTTTAAAGACTTTAAAAGGTTCTCTTCCTTTTTTAATAGATACATATAGCTCCCAATAATGCTATAACTTCAACTGACCTTGACAAAGATCAAAAAAGTAGTTTAGACTATTGAAGTCAAACCCCCTGAAACATCCTGAATGTCAAGAGGAAGTTAAGTCAAGTCTGGAATGTAGGAGTTTTTCTGCTTTTGTATTTTTGGCCAGTTCTATTGGGTAACATTCCAGGAGATCCCATAATGCTTGTTTAATGTTTGTAAAATTGGAGAAAGGCAGCAGCACTAACAATGAATTTTCACTAAGTTAGTGTATACCTCATGGCCACATCTCAACGAGCATGCATGTGCAGTTTTCAGTGCCTCAAAAGAGTATGAGGCTCTGCACACCGCATGTGGTGCATGTGCAAGCATTCATTGCACTGCTAATTAATGATGCAATGGGTTTTTTTTACATACCAGCAGATCCCAGTGTCAAGAAAAACTGCCCCTAAAAAAGTGGTGCTGCACACATGGCAACAGCTAGGGGACATGACATCTGAGGAAAGACTGAGGGACCTGGGCTTATTTAATCTAGAGAAGAGGAGACTGAAAGGGGACTTAATATCAGCCTTCAGCTACCTGAAGGGTGTTTTAAAAGAGGATGCTAGACTGATCTCAGTGGTGACAGAGGACAGAACAAGGAGCAAGGGTCTCAAGTTGCATCAAGGGAAGTTTAGGTTAGATATTATGAAGAGTTTTCTCACTAGGTGGGTAGTAAAATAGAGGAAAAGTTTACTCAGAGAGGTGGTGGATGCTCCATCCTTGGAGGTTTTCACAACCCAGCTAGACAAAGCTTTGGCTGGGATGATCTAGTTGGGGATAGTCCTTCTTTGAGCAGGGGGTTGGATTAGATGGCCTCCTGAAGTCACTTCCAACCATAACTTTCTATCATTCTATGAAGAAGCATGCCTAGGGACAAATAGAAGTGGCACAAATATGTCACTATTTGTCTCACAGGAAATGTGTGCCCCTACATGTGCATGTTCATTGGGATGGGCCCCCTGTGGGTAAGGAACCAATGCGCCCTTGAATCCACCAAAGCAGCTGAGCCAAGATCCAACTATTCACGAAATATAAGTGTGAGCTGAATGTCCCCTTTCTGTTACAAACACAAGAAGGGACCTGAGCATCAAATTACAACCCACAAACACTAAGAGAATTCAGATCCACGTTCTTAGTTTGGCCTACTAGAATCCAAATTTCAGCCAAAAGTTTTGAATCTACATCCTGGTTTGATTTTTATCCCTTTGGGATATTATTCTCTTTTAAATTACAATTGTATTGGGTGTGGTCATAATAAAGTATTCAATCTTTGCACATTTGTGTCTACTTTTATACAACGTGAAATGTTACCTGGTATTGTTCCAATGAATCTCATGAACAGAGGGTTTGATTGAAGATTTAATAAAATTAACACTACTTCCTTACTTTCCTTTTTTCTTCTTAATCTTCTCTTCAAGATTAAACTCATCAGCACTTGACAAAAACTGCAAATAACAGCCAGATGCAGGAGTTGGTTTTATCTTTTTATGCAAGTATGTGGTGCTAATTAGTGCAAATTGATTAAACTTTAATTGCCTGATCCATGGCTAATTAATATTTATAAGATGAATGAGCAAGAAAACCAGACATTTATTAAAACACTTTAATGATTTTTCATATGTTTTGACAAAGCAAAGCAAATAGATGTTATGAGTTTAGATGTGCCAGACACAAGGACTATATTTCTTACCTGCTTCTAACTAGGAGTACAAGAAAACTAATCATTCCTTTCCCCTTCCCAGTCACTTCGGAGACTTTCTCCTGTATATACAATTGCATAGAAACTCTTGTTAATTTGTTGTTTGTACAATGTTCTAGTTGGCACTTTATGCCATATCTTGTTCAACAAACAGTGGGGTCCTGCTATGCCATGACTTATGCAAAATAATTTTCAAAGTGCATCAGATGGAAATAGTGTACAAGCATTTTTATCAAAACTGGCTGAAACTGACTGAAGAAGCAATGCTTTAGTTGGCTCTCTCTCTTAGGGTGTAAACAGATGTTGCCCTATACTGCCATAATTGTTTTATGGAGGTACAAGTTGTAAGGAAACAGACATCCTAGCCTCATCATGCTTCAAGTGTCCCAGATGTTGCTGTGACCAAAGATAGTAATAGTTTGTGACACCTTAAAGGGGAGGACATATATTTGTTTACTAAGCATCATGGTAATTGTCTTGCAGGAATCCCCTCCAGAAGATTCCCATGGCATGGCTACCTTTCCCATGGCATGCCTGCTGAGCTCCAGCTTGGGGCATATGACTGTGACCAGGGGACCTCCATAGCAGTTCTTCCACTACCTTACTTTTTCCTTTATCTTGAGCAAGTCAGATTTCCTGCTACACATGCATTCTCAATAACCTCCCCTTTAGGCTCCTACTTTCAACCTAGCTTGACTCCACTCTAGTCTTCCTAGCTAACTCCTGCTCACTAAAAAATAAGATGAACCTAAAACCCTTTTGTTCTTCTGAATCTCTTCCCTGAAAAGTCACAGGTTATATCTCCCAGAGGCCTGGTTCTGAACCATGTACTCCCCCTGTCATGTAACCCCTTTACTCATTCCCTTTACCTGGGGAGGTGAGATAAATTTGCCATTAGACTAAACCATTGCTCCTTTACGCCCAGCTTACCCAGTACCAATCCTGTATACATATACTCACAAGATAAAAGGGCTTATTTCCATTTTTTTAAAACCTGCTATGGTACCAGCCCTGCATTTTTTTGGGGCAATTTAGTCCATGAGATTTATACCGCCTTCCTTTTTTGTTATAAAGAAATGTATAAATCAGTTAATTTTGTTTTAATACAGAGTGCTCTCCAAATGAATACATTTTGGAACAATGATTATATGTAAAATCACTGAACTGAAAACTGTTCCTTACTTTCTCAAGCCAGTTAGTAATTCATTTTAGACAATGCCATTTTGAACTCTTCTGCACATACACCCACACATACCCTTTTCACTACATTTTTTAAAAATTGTTCTGTAGCAAGAATTCAGCAGAATGCCTTTACTGCGACCCTATTAAGCAACCCACAAAATCCCTCCTAAACATATAATTGTTTAAAAAATAACATGTTAAAATAATAAACTTCCTGTATGCTAACAAGTAAATTACTATAACAAGCATATTAAAAGAGCATACTTACGGCTTTCAGCTGAAAAAATGTTCTCCAAATTACATACTGTAATACAATGGAGCATATGGAGTCCTTTTAACTGAATGAATATGTCCTAGCCTGCAGTCTATCAACGATGATAAATCCAAAAACAGGAACTAAAATAATCCTTGGAGCATGTAGGTGGGTAATGCTAAATTGAAGAAGTTTCTATTGAACTGAATTATCTACTGGACACAATATAAGTACTGAGATGACAACTGAAATACATAAAAGATAACATTTATGGATTGCACACAAAATGTGTGTCTTCATATAAAACAAAGGTTTAAGTAAACATGCAAAGCAAGGTTTTCCCCTCTAATCCATGATATATTGATTTTCTACAAACATTCCAGCCCCCACTGACATTATTGTAGCTAGGAGATGTAGAACAAGCCCATATCTGAAAGTCACAATGAAATACAAGAAATGCACAGTGAGTCTCACACAGAACAATAATTATTAGGAATGAAGTAACTTCTGGACAAAATTAAAATGGACGTAAATCTGAGCCGCCAGCTCAAGCTCAAATAAATTAATGTAATAAAGGATTATAAAATACTTGACAAAGATCAGGCTTCTGGTATTCTCCCCTCTACTATGCTAACCAATATTATATTGCTTCTTTTGTTACCTTGCCCTCCTCCATCTATCTATACCTTTCTGTTGTATTCCACTTGGAACCGTCTCCAGTAAAGGATATAGCTTCCATTAACAGGATTTAGGCAGACTTTAGCCACCTAGATATAAAATTATGATAAACCCCACATACACATTTTAGTTTCTTAATACTGGCTCAACCTAAAACTCAGTAGGCACCTCCTTTTTGACCTGTAGGTACCTGTAGTTTTACAATCAGCCTGACCTGTAGGTACCTGTAGTTTTGCAATCAGCAGAAAAATTTTGGCCTCTGGAATAGGAGGAGGTGGGGGAGGCAGTGGCTGAGTTTTTACTTCCTTTCACAGGGACAGCTGCAGCTGTTACTGCCACAGTGTGCTGCTGTAACAGTGCAGACTCCCCCAGGGCTGCCATTCTGGTTCCCCTTCTAAATTAGCACCCACCCACTAATTATGCAGCTGGTACCTAGCTCCTTCCTAGGCTCCACTGGGATCCAGACAGTTGGAAGTGTAGCATTAAGCCCCGCTGACAGCAGTGCCTTTCTTCGGAATCCAGAACCTTGTGTTAGGGACTTAGTCTCCCCATCCACCCAGAATAGGGATCCTAAAGATGGCTGACTAGTAGAAAACACAAAGCATGGTGATAATCTCAAACAATGTCCCTCTCCCAAGAGGAGACAATTTATTGAGGGCTATTGGCAGGTACTCCATATACTCAGGATCTCGAGTCCAGAATTCTCTTCTGAGATTACAGGCCAGACTCTAATTCATCTCTAAGGTACCTAAAGAGAATTTGGATAGATTTAGACCTCTAAGTCACAAAAGAATCTAGATCAGTTGTGCTCAAGCTTTTGGCCCCACAGGCCAGATGAGTGGCACAGAACTAGTCTGTGAGCCAAATTAAGCCGTACACCACAGGATTGGGCTCCACATACCAAGACAGGCCCTGAGGTTCAGTGCTTCCTCCTCCCTGACTCACACACCAGGATGGAGCTCTGGGACCCAGTGCCACCCCCACCCAGACCCTTGCACCAGGAATGGGCCCTGGGACCTGGCACCATCCCTGTGTGCTAGGATTGGGCCCCAGGACCCATTGCCACCCTGCCTGACTCCACCTACTGATATCAGGCCCTGGGATCCAGCGCTACCCTCACCCAGCCCTGTGTTCCTAGATTGGGCCTTGGGGTCCAACAGAGTTCCCATCTGGCCTGCATGCTGGGATTGAGCACCTGAGGGCCTGGTGACATCACTTCCCTGCTCTCAGATTCTGCGGCCCATGAAGACCCCCATGGACCAGATGAGAGAGCTCCAGGGGCTAAATCTGGCCCCTGCGCTGGAGGTTAGGCACCCCTGGTCTAGATCAATCCCACTCAGTGGGCACATCTACACATGCTCCTAACTGAGCATTTGGTACTGCCCAGTACCCACTAGTCCTGAGTAGCCTCATCAGCACAATTATTTTTAGACCCTATGTCACTGTAGCAATGAATTATAGTGATGTTGCTCATTGATACAGCGACATAGCATTGGCATCACAGTTTGTGCCTACTGAGGCGCCCAGTGGCTGCAAAACTAATTAGGTACTTAAATTGCGTAGTTGTCTGATCTTGGCCTGAAAATATTGTTAGGTGCCCAGACTGACAACTGCACACTCTGAATCAGTCTAGACAAGTCACATAAACAACCTATTTGTACATAAATGCCTCTGCAGCCCTAAGTCAAATGCTTAAATTCCAAGGAGGAACCAGAATTCAGACACCCTCTAGCATTTCTTATTGGTCAACTATAGGCATCTCCCCAGTGACCATCTAAGAGATTTGGTAGCCAGGCATCTGAATTTTAGGTATGTGATATCTAACTGGAAGCAGGATCAATCATAATTTGGGCTTAAATGTTAAAATTTCTCCTTCCAAAGAAGTAAGCAAGGCTCACTTTTGCCTTTAAGATAGGGCTAAAGAAGCTGGTGGAGTTGATAACACACTTTTATGTTATAACCTAGTGCCATACTCACCCAAGAAAAAAGAGGCTGAGGTTCAATGCCTTCATCAGTCTGATAGACTGGATCCTAGATGCTGGATCCTACTCATATCTCTCACCTCCTTAGAAAGTACTTTAATAACCTAGTCATGGGGTAAGAGGCTATCCCTTTGCAGTTTTATGTGTTCTGTGTTCCTGTGCACAATTCTGGGCCCACGGGGAGGTGGGAACAAAAGTGTACTCGACTCTGTAACCCATGGTCAAGCACTCACTTTGAGGAAGACATGGGTGCTAGTCTTTGCTCCTGGGACCATTTCTGTACATTCTGTAAAAGTACTGAAAAAAGAGTCCTGAATCCATTTCTCTGCACTACCAGAAAAGTTTCCTAACCACCAAGCTATAGGATCATGTTTTCTTTTGCTTTTCTCCAGTGGTCTGAATTTCTTGACTGCATAATGGAACTGTTTTCTCACCCAGAATAGCCTATACATTGGTGTTCAGGCATTGTCCTAAGGGGTAGGAAATGCACATTGAAGCCCTGTCAGACTGAGGTGTGTATAGAACCCTGGGTACTATCAACAATCAAAAGGGCAAATAAAATGTTAAGTATTATTAAGAAAGGAATTGTAAACAAAATTGAAAGTGTCATCATGTTCCTTTGTAAATGTCATCCCTTTGTGTCATCATATCCCTTTGCATCCACACCTTGAATACTGTGTCCAGTTCTGGTCCCCACAATTCAAAAAGGATATAGGAGAACTAGGGGGCAAAAACTGTACTAATATGCTATTGTGCAGTAGTATTAGGTTACTGCACAGTAAGCATCACAAAAAAACCACGCACCAATGCTACTGTGCAGTAACTGTAGTGCTAGTAACTGTAATACTAATTTAGTTAGTACGTCATTAAGCAAGTACTAAACTAAATGTGCAGTAACTACTGCACCTTAATGAATGTGTAGATGCATCCTGTGTGACAGGATACTGGGCAACTTTGACTTATAGTCTGGCCCAGTAAATAGCAATTCTTATGTTCTTAATGCACTTACCACAAAGTTACTACATAATGCTATGTAATAAGACTCCTCTTCTACCCTGGTTTAAGAAATAAAGTAGCTACAGTTGCATTTTGTGAGTGGCTTGATTCTGTCAGGGTGTGTCTACAATGTATTAGATCTAGGAGCAGATTATTCATGAGTAAACTACTTGTGAGTAAAGAGTCCCAGGCAGGCATCTACTACACATGTAGGGAAGTGGGAGCAGATTTGCTGGTAATGGCAGCAAACTGCTGTCACTTCCTGGGATTCTGCAATGGGTACCTGACACCACCAGCCCCTGTGTGCTAGTCCAGGGGCTGGCTGTGTGCACCAGGCAGGCAGACTGCCATCTCCTGGTCAGATCTGGGACATTGTTCTCTGCCTCTGGGGAAATTCCTGCTGCTGCAGTAGGGACAATGTCCCCCTGTCCCTGCAGCAGGGAGCTCCCAGCCCCGGCTCCCTGATCAGGGAAAGGAACTTGGAAAGAGCTGCAGGGAAGGGGCAGGCACCAGCCCCTTGTCTTGGCCCACTGGTGGGGCAGCCAGGTGTAGGGGCATCTCTGATAGCTGCCCAACTAATGGGTTGGGACAGGGGTCTGGGACCTGCCCCATCCCTGTAGTTCTTTCCAAGCCCTGAATCTTGATCATCCAATTGGGGCGAGGGGCTGGGATCTGCCCCTGACTGAGACAGTTCCCAGCCCCCAGTCTATGATCATGGGGCAGGGGCTGGAGGGCCTGTTCCCTAGTCAGCTCTGTAATCACAGAGCTGGGTGGGTAACAGGCTCACCAGCCCCCACCAGCAGAGAGCTCCTAGCGCCAGCTCTGTGGTCATGGTGCCAGTGCTGGGAGATCGTTATCTTCCAACATCAGCCCTGTAACTGCGGAGCTGGCAGTGGGAGATAAGGATCTCCCAGCACTGACCCCACAACCCCACAGCCCCCCCCTCCCCCCCTCCCTGCTCAATCACAATGGTGATGTGGAAGTTAGGAGATAAGGATCTCCCAGGCCCTCTCACGATCACAGAGTGGGGGAGCTTGGAGCTCCCAGCTGCCAGGGCAGGGGTACAAAGTCCCCACCCAAGTTCTGGTGGTGGAGCCTGCCCCAGCAGCAGGAAGCTCCTGGGGGCAGGGAGCAATCTCCCACCCCCTTGTGGTCAACTGACCGGGAGTAGATTTGTTCCCAGTTAGGTGTCTGCACAAGTGCTACTGCACAGTTAGTAATCACAAGTAAATTTGTTATTTGCATTTGCAGGTAGGAAATTTACTCACAGTTAGTGAGGTTTACTGCACAGTAAGCACGTACATGTGTAGATGCACATGCTTCCTGCAAAGTAAACTAAGCTAGTTTTCAGTAAAGAGTCTCATGTAGACACACCCTCAGTGTATGTTAAGGCTGCTCAGGGCATGCTTACTGCACAAGGTAACACCTGGCTCCTAGATCCTAATCAAGTTTAGGAAGGACCTACATGCCAGACAGTTCAAAATAGGCCTGTTCCAAGCATGTACAGAAACAGAAGTGTGGGCACCCAAAGAACAAGTCAAATAGGAA